CGCCGATGTAGCGACCGAATTAGGGCGGCCCAAGAGGGCCCCAAGAGGACCCCCAACAATCTCCAAAAGACCCCAGACGGCCCCCAGGAAGTCCCAAGGGACCCTCAAGAGATCGCCAAGATGCCGCCTTCTCCTCCTCACCCTGCTTTTCCTCCTCCTCCTCCTCCTCCTCCTCCTCCTCTTCCTCCTCCTCCTCCTCCCCCTCCTCCTCCATCCCTCCTCCTTCCGAATATCTCCACCCTGTCGCACCCCCAGACGTGTCGGTCGGACGGGCTGGGCATTTCGCCTGAGAGCTCCTCGCCGCTTGTGACCTTGAACAGTGAATTTTGCTTTTGCAGCAATTTCACGGATGGGGAACGGGCCGTTTTCAAAACGTGGCTCTCGTCTGAACGCTGCGTACATTCGTTATAAACCTTGGCAACAGCTCCATGGAGGGCGGGCCGTTTTCCAAATATGCTTATCGCCTCAGAGCCGCGCACATTCGTCATACACATTTCAGAAGTTTCGAAGTTCAAGGTCTGCTTCTTTCAATATATGCCTCTCGCCTTAGCGCCGCGCGCATTCATTGTGAACGTTTGCAGCACTCTGACGGCTTTAAGGCTTCGCATGGCCGATATCCAAAACCAAAGAATGGCATTCTGGAGAATTTCGGATGGTCAGGGCGCAAAAGTCACGTGTTCCGCAATGTTGGCATCCTACGAATGGTGTTCTGGTACTTACGGTTTAGAACGGTCAGGACGCAAAATTCACATTGATTCGCGACGCTGCAGGGCCCTATAAAAAATACAGATACATTCTTTCTTGCAGTGAAGATGCATTCTTTCTTGCAGGGCCCTATAAAACAACAAAAAACCTGGAGGGTTTATTGCAGCACCTTTGATGCGCCTTGGGTTTGCACTGTCCTCCTCCTCCTCCTCCTCCTCCTCCTCTCACTGTTCCTCCCCCTGGCGGCCCCGCGGCGTGCCCAAATGCTGCATCTGCGGGCTGGCTTCTCGAGGGGGCGCCCGCCGTGCCTCCCGCAGCGCGGGCCCCGTGCGGCGACCCTCGCGGGCCGTGGCCACGCCGGGTCTGCAGGCGCTTGTGCAGTAGATGGCTACAGTCGGGCCGGGGCTGGCATGCCATCCTGCCAGAACGTGAGGCCCTCCGTCGGCCAACACAGGCAGAACATCCAAGGGCACCCTCCCCAGGATGCGCAAGAGCATCCCGCGCACACGCGAGGAATACCAGAGCACCCTCCCCGAAGCGACCTCGATCTTGTACGCCGGTCCGACCCGTATTATCTACAGGCTTGCGACTGGATGGGAGGACTGGAAGGCTTTCGTTTGCCCAATTAATCTACTCGGAGGCTCCGAAGAAACTCCCAGGGGGGGGGGGCGCCGAGCGCGAGCCACGGCGGCCCTCCACAGCCATTGTAGGCTCACTGGCGGCCCCATCGTGTGGCTGTATATGGCTCCAGGAAGGCCCCAGGACGACCTCCGCGTCCCCTCTGACATAGCCTCGTGACGGCCGAAAAGGCCTCCAAGATGCCCCTGAAACGCTCCATGGGGATCCCCAAGAGGACCCCGATCGAGCACGCATCGGCTCAAATTCTGGGAAACGCGATGCTTCTTTTAATTCCAAGTGCGCAACGTGCAAGACGACCCAGGATGCCTCCCAAATCGCCCAAGGACGGCCCAGGAGGCCCCAAAGCGGGCCACACTTTGGGACTAGTAGGGCCTCTTGGTTGTCTATAGGAAGTGTTTTTTTGTGTTTAGTGTTTTCTACAGCACATGAGCAACGATCATTCCACGCCAGGCAAATCTCAGGCTACAACGTGTCATCAAACGCCCATGACCTTCACAGCTCGGGCTCGCGAAAAGGCGGACGAAGTTTCAACGACAGCTGCTCACATGCCATATACCGTGAGTGCGTCATGCCAATTCCGCATGTTCCCCATTTGCTTACCAGTTGGTGCCACATACGTTACAAGGAGCATTCGAGCGTCCACGTCTAGGTGTTCGGGGTTGTTTTGCCACCCCCTTTGTAGATCGTCTCAACAACGCTTGACATTGCTTTACATACGATCTGTTAATTTCATCAGGCTCATTCTCGAGGTATTGTGAAATCAACTGCGGGAGTTGTACCACTGACTTACGTTCGTCACGATAGCCCCAATCGGAATCGACTCTGAATGCCTGTCGGCTAATCTCTTGATCTTTCTCTGCATCAATCGCCTATAAAACTCGACCTTTGCTTCGAGTCGAGCAACTGCCTCGTCTCCGGATTATTGTCTGACCGGTTCGGGCATTTACGCAGATGTCCTGGCCAATCAGGATACAACCGGTCCTTGCACCTCCACGCTCTCCTAAGGTACATTTCTTTTCCGATGTTGGCCCACATTAGATGGATACTAGCACCAACACCACGCAGTTCTGAGAGATCCGTAGATCGTGGCTGTCTCTGGTCCCGTGGGCAAATGCTTGGATGTCGAACGTGGCTCCAAAAGCAAGTGCCGCGATAGATGTGATCACATCGTCTTTGCACCAGCTCCATCAGCACAAGCAAACATGTGGTACCCATGCCGTCGCGCCATATGTCTTGAACGCGCCCAAGTGGGCAACGCCGACACCGCGGCAAACCCGCGGCAGACCCCGCGAGCCGCGCCCGAGCACACGCAACCGGCACCGCGGCCAACCCCACGACGGGCCCACAGCGTCCGAGGCGGCGTTGGCCCCGGTGGCCGCGGCGCCCCCCCCCCGAAGGCGTAGGGCGGCGCGTCGGAACAAACGGCGCGGCGACATATGACATCTTGACATACCTCTTGAGGTTTTCTCCCGCTCTCACAGGCTGGGCGAGTGCCTCGCGAACACCTGCGGACTTTCTGCAGCTCCTAGGGTCACAGGGGGAACGCGAACCTCCGCACCCCAGGGCGCCTGCCGCAGGAGGAACACGAGCCTCCGCGACAACGATGCGGCGCATGAGGAGGAGGACGAATAACCACAGGCACATGGCGCCCGTCGTGCATGGCTTTACAATGAAGGACCTGGTAACGAGGTAAGCGGTGTGCCGCACGGAGCGTCTTGAGCTAGAGGCTTGAGCCAACATGGCCACCACGACCGAGCCTCTTGAGGCCTCTTGGGGGGGCCTCTCTGGGGGCTCTTGGGAGCCATCTTGAAGCCTCAGCAGCTCATCGGATGCGAGAATGGCGATACTTCGAGAAGGTTAATAAAAATGATGTCCTCATGGCTTTGTAAGGTGCGTTGCTTCTCCGAAGCCTCCTGAAGGACCTCTTGGGGCCCCCTTGCGGCCCGCCGGGCCCTCCGCTGGAGTAGGCGCCCTGGAGGCGCTCGTCGGGCGCCCTGTGCCCTGTGCAGGGGAGGAGGAGGAGGAGGAGGAGGAGGAGGAGGAGGAGGAGGAGAAGGAGGAGGAGGAGGAGGAGGGCACAGGTCCGCACATCCGCCGTTCGGGCTGTGCGGAGCCGCCCTGGACATGCTCGGGCTGCCCGTGGGCCCTGTTGGGCTGGTCTGGTCGCTCGTCTGGGGTCCCCCGGGGTGCCGCACCGAGCGGCGGGCCCAGACACCCCCGCGGGAGATGCAGAACTCACGACGGGAAACGTTTCGCTGTTTTCGGCCTCTGGGGGCCCTCACCTGGCCTCGGGGCCGTCAAGAAACGACTCAGCATGAGAATCCGGCCCCAAGGAATGGGTCGAGACCTCTGGGGGTTGACGTTATAACCGTTATGAAAAAGTCATGACGTCGGGGGTCTTGGGGGGGGGGGCGGGAGGCCCCTGAGGGGCAGGCCTTCGTGGCCGACGTGCTGCCATGTGGGGTGCATCTCTGCACGCAGCTTGCTGCAGCTGCTGGTGACAAGCCTCCGCTGGACTGGACACCCTTGGCCGGAGGCCGAGAACACACACACACAATTTGTATGAAGCACCGCGCTCTCGCTGATGTGTGTGTGTGTGTGTGCGTGTGTGTGCTTCACGCCGGTGTGCCTCTTCACTTGGCGCTTCTGTACACAGCTATTCTATCTGCACTGCCATCTACCCAGCTCGAACGCGTCTGGGACCCTCGGCATAGTGCGACGCCCAACCTGCCCGAGGTGGCCTCACGTGGCGGATTTCCTGAAACCCCGGAATGTGAGGACGATGACGTCCTGGATGAGGAGGAGAAGGAGAAGGCGGAGGAGGAGAAGTCCTTGTGACCCCAAAAGGGGTCCAGCTGAAAGGGGGTGGTGCAATAAATTTGGGGCAATTGTATTGCAAATGTATTGCGCCAGAGACTTGTAATGCATTGTATTGCAGCTAGTGAATTGCACGCGAAAGCTCAGCAATACATTTGCGCACTGGAATGTATTGCACAACCGCGTCTATTGCAACCCCGCAAATATTTTGCACCAAATCTATTGCATCACCCCCTTGTCGCTGGACCAAATTTGGGCCAACCAGAAGGAGGAGGAGGTGGAAGAGGAGGAGGAGGACGATGACGTCCTGATTTTACTTCCGCCGCCTTGCGCTGGTGGACCTCCGCCGAGGGTCTCGCTGGAGCGCTCCGCAAGCCCCCCACGCCCGCCCTTCCGAGGCCAGAGATGCCTCCGGGGGAACCCTCCGCTCCGGGCGCCTTGCGGGCCGTGGCTGGAGGCGGTGGCCTGAGAGCTCCAGGTCGCGGGAGCGGAGAGGGCTGGCGGTTCCAGCTCGTCGCTGCGTCCTGGACAGGACCTGGCGGGCCCGTAGCGAACAATCTCGGGCTGTCTCTCTCTGGATAGGGCAGGATGCGCGGTGGAGGAGAGCAGAGACTCTGCTGGTGGGCTCTCTTGGAGCATGCTCTTGTGCTTCCCACGTGGCTATTTTTCCTAAGAAGTGTTACGGCGAAGAAGCAATACTCCGAGAAAGCCCAGGGAAGTCTCGAAAGACAGCCCAGCTTTTCTGCCGCGACTCGTCTCCGCGCCTCCAGCTTCGCATCAACGCGCGAGGCATAAGCATCCTCACCTCATGCTTCCGCACTCGTATTGCACATTCCCCTTCACCGGGTCGCGCTACATAGTGTCTGGCAGCAGCGCTTCCAGGTAGTCTTCGATGATCGCAACCGAAGGCCTGCATACGCTGCGGGCGCAGCAGTCTCTAAAGCGGGTTCTCATAGTAAGGACGGTCGGTGATTGTGGAGGATGAGTGAAACGAGTATTGAAAAGGATACTTGAGGAGGGGGGTCAGAAAAGGCCACGCAGAAGAGATGGGAGCAGAGAGGCGTGTGTGCTGGCGGAAACGGAAGCGTGAGAGCTGACATGGGGAAATGCTTAACGTTGCGCAACGGTCATTGGCTACCTTCTTAGGAATCCTTCTGGACCAGCCTCTGGATAGGTGAAGAACGCAATGAGGGAGGGAGAGGGATGGGAGCGAAGTAGGAATGGAGCAAAGCGAATGGAAAGGGGCAGATATAATAGAGAACGCACGGATGCATTGGTTCAGTAACATGTCGCGCACTGTCTGAATTCCGGCCGCTCGATACAGAGTGCCACTGATGTATGCCACCCTGGAGCGCGCAAATATATTTGATTTCGTTGTACACAGTGGTAGCGACATTCAACAAACGAGAAGCGCCACTGGCGGATACTGGCGGCGGCGGCAATCCGAATCGAGGGCTGTTGGGCTTCGAGAAATCACCACGCGTATTGCACAACGAGCACGCGCCAACGACATGAATAACATGATGATTATCGGCGACGTGGTTTCGATTCAATCTGGGCGTGCTGCTACCCTACCATCCTTTGTAAGCGTGATGACAGTGGGAGTGGCGATGCACCGGCCGATCGTTGATCCATGTGCAGTCCTGATGATGTCGTGATATGTAGCTGCTCTTGTGGCCACGACGGTGGTGCTGGCGGGCGGCAGGGTCGCTGCCTTGCGAAACGTGGTAGCGATTGTGCTTGAGATGGGTATAGCGGGTGCGTGGTTGTAAACGTGGTCATGTCTGCTGCTGGTAAGTCATCGACCCCTTGAAGTGACCAACGTGTGAGATCGACCTTGCTGCTCTCCGACCTTCTTGTCAGGAGGACGATTGTGCTCGTTTCGCGGGCAGGGGTGGCCTGAAAGGGCCTAGCGGTAGTGTCAGAACCCTCGCTAGCGCCCAGAATCATCCAGAATCGCCAGGCTTCCAAGACGACGCAAGCGGCCAGGATGCTCCAAGAGAACCACCCCGAGGCTCCAAACACAACGCACGAGACGCATCACGAGAGGCCTCAAAAGATGTCCAAGAGGCTCCACGAGAGGCCGCAGGCAACCCAAACCACAAAACAACCATCATAATGCCATGCTTGTTGCTCGATCTTGTGGTCCTGGGCCTGGGATGGACTCTGGACTTCTCCAGGGGACTCCTAGAAGGCACAAATGTTGCTCCAGAGCTTCCTGAGACGGCCCACGAGGACCGCCAAGAGGGCCCACGAAGCCCCCGAGATGCCCCCGGAGGGCCTCGAAAGAGTCCGCAGGCAGCTTGCAAGAGTCCCCAAGCGGCCCGAGATCTCCCCCCAGAAAGACGCAGTACAAGCAAGGAGGCCAGCGAGACGGGCTAAAACATCCCAATCGTTGTTTTTCTGTTGCTATGTACTCCTCTCGATGGACTCCCGCCGTTTCTCTGCAGCCGCCGCTGTCAATGTCGAGCCGCCTCCTGCTCTTGCTGCTGGCAATGTCGTCGCCGTCTTCGGCGAGGCCTGCCAATCACGCCAATCAGGCCAACAGGGCACTCGAAGATCAATTTGGTAAGGTTCCAAAGCGTGGCTCTGGAGGGAGGGAGGGGGAGGGGTACGAGCAGGGGAGGCGGACGGAGAGATGGGGACCGTCCTCGAACGGGCACAGGGAGGCCCACTGCGCTAGATCTGGCGACGGGAGCGGGTGGGCCCCCCTCGGGGGCGACCATGTGGGGACCATCCTTGGACGACGGCTCGCACACTGCAGCTAGAACCCTTTGGAGAGACGCTGTTCGATACGTCGCCTTGACAGGCACTATCCGGGACCTGCGCAAGATGGCCTTGCCCCGCGGGGCGTTGGTCGCCTTTTGAAGCCCTGGGCAAGCATCTTCGCTGCACCATGCATCACGACACCGACGCCGTCCGACGCCGTGCCCTGCCAAATCGATTGCGCCTTCCCACTGCGACTGCAAGGATCAACGTGACAGTGCAATCGAGGAAGCGACAATACATTCAAGTGCGATCGATCATGGGCGCTGGTTCAAGATTGGGGACAACCTCATGCGTGTAAAGTATTGGCGCTGTGGTGCCCACCCGATTGCCTCTATAAAGCGCTCGAATTCCTCGTCTTTGATATTGATGCTGTGCCTGTTGGTTGGGTATGCGCCTGTAAGCACATCCACACGATACTGACTCAGAAGCTTTACGGCAGCCTGCATCAGGTGGGCGTAGATGACCGAGTGGCGGGGATAATGCCCGGCGTGCGTGCCCATGAGGTCGTCGGAGAAGAGGAACTGGCCGTCGCAGTCGGGACCGCTGCCCATAGAGAAGACCAGCATCTTGGTGCGCCTCGTGATTTCGGCCGCCATCCTGGCTGAGACGCACTCCGTCTCGACAGCGATGCAGCCCGCGGCCTCCAATGCCATTACGTTGTCGTGCTCCTTCTTTGCCTCCTGAGCCGTCTTCCCGACAGCCCGCGGACCACCGAGCTAGGTGTCGTTGACTGGGAGGTAACCGACGTGTCCACAGCAAGGAGAAAATGCTGCCGTGACAGGCAGGCGACTTGCCGGGGACGAACCCAGAGCAGTAGATGAAGTCGGTCCCTGCGGCCCGCTTTTTGACGAGCAAGCTCGGGCGACCAGCGCTGCCGCAAGCGCCCAGAGGATGCGCCCGACTCAGTCGGGCACCTTGCGGAGCTGCGCAATACGCCGCGCCACGCCTGCGGCCCGCACCTCGTTAGCCAAAATGATCGTCTTCTCCTGACTCTCGTACGCGCCCAGGTTTATCCCCGAGCTGATCAAGGTTTTCGGTGCCCCTCTGCGGACGGCCTCTGTGCCGAACTTGCCGTGCCCGTGGCAGGAGGCCCCCACGTGAGGGTCATGTCCACGCCTGGCCTCCTCGGCGGCCCCGGTAGTCCGCTCGTCGAACGCTGTGGTCACGACGATCTGTCTCCTACCCTTGAGCGCTAGAAGCTCCGCGACCGTCAACTTCTTCCTCTTCTTCGGCTGACAGTCCTGGCAGAACAGGTTTCAGATTTTGTGGCCCCTATACCACAAAGGGCAATCGCCCCCGACAACAACTGCAGTTCCTGCTGCGGCTGCTGGGGGCAGCAGGCGCTGTGCGTACGCGGCCCATCGGTACATCGAAGTGGTGAGAATCCAGAACAAACTCGTGCTGCCCCCTTTAACTGACGTCCGTATCCCTCGCCGGTTTCGCTCTCGGCTCTCAAGCCTCTCCGACGCCTTTTTGGGGCCGTTCTCGGAGCCTCTTGGAGCTTTCTTGGGGCTATCCCGAGGCACTCTTGGCTAGTCCTGCGTAGTTTTCCGGAGCCGATCTCGGCCTCACCACATCCTTCTGGGCAGTCAGCCATCCCCCGCCAGACCTCCATCCACTACGCCTCCTTACGCTGCTTCCTCTCGGACCACGCATGCACCGATCCCCTCGCATGCAACTTGTAAACCTGGAGCGAGACCTGCAAGAAAGGTCCTGTTCAAGAAGGTTCCTTTCGCACATCTGTATTTGGAATCTTGAACTGTATAAATTGAAAAAAAAAGCAAATTGCTCCTGCATATATGGCCAGGCTGGCGCGCTCGCCATGGCTCAGAAGTGCGACGGAGGAGCAAGCTCCCAATGGCGCCGCGATGCACGCGAGGGCAGCGCGAGTACCGCACGCGCCCTTGCCCGCCGGGGCCTTCGGTGGAGCTCCCAACGGGGCCACGAAACATGCGAGGGTCTCCTCCTTCCCCTCCTCCTCCTTCCCCTCCTCCTCCTCCTCCTCCTCCTCCTCGCCCTCCCCTACTCCTCCTTCTCCTTCTCCTCCTCCTCCTCCTCCTCCTCCTCCTCCTCCTCCTCCTCCTCCTCCCTCATCCACTTTCTCCTTCCTTCAGGGCGCGTGCGAAAATGAAGTGTTTTGGAGGGCCCCTTCGAAAATGACACGTTTTGGAGGGCGCCTGTGAACATGAATCGTTTTGGAGGGCGCATGCGAAACTTGGCATTTATGGAGGGCGCCTGCGAAAACCCTTCGGGCGCTGAGGCTTCTGCTTGCGGATGTGGGCAGCTTTTGTAGCACCCCTGTCATCATGTTTTGGACATTTTCGTCCACCAGCGGAAGCTCTTCAAACTTGATGGGCGCCCACCAGATCCACATCCTGCCCGCCTGCGGAGACGAAGAGATTCTGCACGCAGACATTCTTGCCAGAGGGGTCCAACAGGCCCCAAGAGACACGGGCCTGATGGGCCGCAGCAGGGAACACCATGGAGGATGGAGGCGGTCTGGGGGGACAGCCTGCCACCAAACACCGCCGGGGGGGACTGCGATCCCGCAGGGAGACGCCCTCGGAGCCCTGTGCGAGGGAGGCTCGGGAACCACATGAGCGAGCCCCGAAAAGGCCATGCGGGGGGGATGGGGGGGGGCACTGGACAAGGCCCCGCGAGGGCCCCAAGAGGGCTCCAGGAGTGGACCGAGATGGCCCCAAGTGGGCTCCAAGAGTGGACCGAGGGTATAACAAGAGAGCGTGCTAAGTGGTCGACACCTTGGTGCCGTTTTCGGAGCCTCTTGCGGCCCTCTTGGGCTCGCTCGCGCTTTCTCGGCCAGCGGGCGGCGCCGTCTTCGATCCCCCCTCCCGCAAAGTCCGCGTTCCGAAAAGGTGGGGCGGCGGTGTCTGCCCCCCCATGGGGCGCTCAATACACACATTCGACTGCGTACGCGCGTGCGTCCACGCAAGAGCCACACGCGTCGTGGCCTCCGTGCTGATGCGCGCCGTCTCCGCGCCCGCCCCTCCGACCAGCTGCACCGCCTCTGCCTGTCCGGGGTCCTGCGGGCACGGATCGTCGAGGCTGGGGCTCCTCCGCCTCCTCCTCCCCCGCCTCCTCCTCCTCCTCCTTCTCCTCCTCTTCCTCCTCCTCCTCCTCCTCCTCTTCCTCCTGCTCCTGCTCCTGCTCCTGCTCTCCCTCCTCCTGCTCCTCCTCCTCCTGCTCCTGCTCCTGCTCCTGCTCCTGCTCCTGCTCCTGCTCCTGCTCCTGCTCCTGCTCCTCCTCCTCCTCCTCCTCCTCCTCCTCCTCCTCCTCCTCCTCTAACTCCCATGGAGGCAAAGAAGGCCAGCTACTCACGGTCGGGAATTTTCGCTCAGCGCGTCGCCACGGCTGCCCTGGCGAAACGCTGTGCCTTGCGCGCGGATGGCGTTCCCCGCTCTGCTCCGCGGACGGGAGACCGGGAACGTCCCGGAACGCTGGCACCTGGAGCCGGGAAGTGGACAGCATGTCGTTCCCCAAAGTGGTGGGCCCAAACCGGCGGAGCGACACACGAGCCAGAAAATTCGGACCGTATCTCCCCGTGTGAGAGGGAACTTCAGTGCCCCCCTGCATCCGATGTCACGAGTTGTTCATGACGTGGGCCCCCCGACTTGTGGCCCTCATCCCGTCTTGGCTTTGATCTCGGGCTGGTTTGTGGTCCCGCGGCACGGAAAGGACTCCTGGATTCCCAGTGTGAGGAACAAATGGCTGTCACGATTTGGATCGCTCCGGGAACCATGATCCCCAAATGTTGACACCTGTTTGGGGCGCATTTGTTTACTTCCGCTGGTTTCCGCCGGCGGAGCCGACCTCGTTCTACCTCCGCCAGCTTCCACCGAAGAGGAGACATCGACCCCTCGATTCCTCGAAGCCGAAGCCCTTTCTGGGGCGCCGCTCTTGTTTAGAGGGACAGGAAACCATAAACATAGTTTCTCGGAGGTCCGCGCGGATTTCTTGGATCTGCTGTGGACATCCCTCCCTGACGCGCTCCACGCGCCAGGGGCGGCGCTGGAGGCGCCGCCAAAAGGGCCCAACGCCGATCAAAGCTCCGCGCGGAGCTCCGGGAAAATAAGTTTATCCCTTATTTCGGTGTTCCACTGTTCCCACTTCCCCGGGACCGGTTTCATATCCCGAATCTTGTTTTGATGGCCCCGAACCCTGGTGAGGGCCCCGAGAGGCTGAACACGACTAAGATTTTAGGTCTTGATTTTCCCAACCATCCTATGGTGCCGCGCGTCTCCTCCTCTCCTCTCCTCTCCTCTCCTCTCCTCTCCTCTCCTCTCCTCTCCTTCCTCTCCTCTCCTCTCCTCTCCTCTCCTCTCCTCTCCTCTCCTCTCTCCTCTCCTCTCCTCTCTCTCTCCTCTCCTCTCCTCTCCTCTCCTCTCCTCTCCTCTCCTCTCCTCTCCTCTCCTCTCCTCCTCCTCCTCCTCCTCCTCCTCCTCCTCCTCCTCCTCCTCCTCCTCCTCCTCCTCCTCCTCCTCCACCTCCTCCCTGCGTGTCACCCACCCAGTGCAGCGTTTCGTGGCCCCATAGGGAGCTCCATCGAAAACCCCAGTGGCAGGGTTCGCATGGCGGCCTCGGGCCATTTCGGCACACCCCTCACAAGGATCGTGGCCCCGTAGGGAGCTCCACCGAAGGCTCCAGTGGCAGGGTTCGCATGGCGGCCTCGGGCCATTCCGGCACACCCCTCACCAGGATCGTGGCCCCATAAGGAGCTCCACCGAAGGTCTCAGTGGCAGGGTTCGCATGGCGGCCTCGGGCCATTTTGGCACACCCCTCGCAAGGATCGTGGCCCCGTAGGGAGCTCCATCCACCGAAGGCCCCAATCGCAGGGTTCGCATTGCGGCCTCGCGCCATTTCGGCAGACCCTCACGAGGATCGTGGTTGCATAAAGAGCTTCACCGAAGGCCCCAGTGGTAGGGTTTTCATGGCGGCCTCGGGCCATTTCGGCACACCCCTCGCGAGGATCGTGGCCCCGCAGTAAGCTCCACCGAAGGCCCCCAATGGCAGGTTCGCATTGCGGCCTCGGGCCGTTCCGGCGCACCCCTCACGAGGATCGTGGCCCCATAGGGGAGCTCCGCCGAAGGCGCCACCGGCAGGGTTCGCATTGCGGCCTCGGGCCATGTCGGCACACCCCTCACCAGGATCGTGGCCCCGTAGGGAGCTCCACCGAAGGTCCCAGTCGCAAGGTTCGCATTGCGGCCTCGGGCTATTTCGGCACACCCCTCGCGAGGATTGTGGCCCCGTAGGGGGCCCCGCCGAGCCTCGGGCCATTCCGACGCGCGCCTCACGAGGATCGTGGCCCCGCGAGAGCTCCACCGAAGGCGCCAGTGGCAGGGTTCGCATGGTGGCCTCGGGCCATGTCGGCACACCGCTCACGAGGATCGTGGCCCCGCAGGAGCTCCACCGAAGGCGCCAGTGGCAATGTTTGCATGGCGGCCTCGGGCCATTGCTGCACACCCCTCACGAAAATCGTGGCCCCAAAACTTTGCTGCTTCAACAACCGCGACTGGGCGTCGTGCTTCGCCTTGTGGACGTGCAACGCCACCTCTTCCCTCATGGCTCTCAAAGACCTCTCCTGCTTCTGCTCCTCGGTCAGAGGGACGCCGTCCTTGTCGTTGTCGGCGCCCGCGAGGACGGCCACGAACGTGTTCCTGAGCATGTCGGGCTCCAGCGGGAAGCCGTGGCCACATAGGGAGCGCGGGCGAAGATGGTATTTACAATAGCGGTATTCACGACTGCGTATGGTTGGGTCCTTCGCCAGGCTAATTTTGGAGACGCTGGATCTCTGGGCTTGTTCGCGACGAGGGATCGGAGGGCCTGTCGAAGGCATGATGGCGTCTCCCACTTGCCGGCCGCGGTGGCGCCGAGTGGGGTGGGTAGGCTGCTCGGAGCGGCTAGAGGCTCAGGTAGTAGCGCTGGAGCCTCGGTCGGCATTCTCTGCCTCGTCATCGCCGACGCGTCTGACGATCGACGACCATCGAACCTCGATCCGCGATCTGAGCTGTCCCGGTACGCAACACGCAGCCCGTAGCGTGCTGACACGGAGCTCAAAGCGTAGACTGAAAACGCACGTTTGTCACGTTACGTCCGTAAAAACCGTGGGCCAACACGTTGAGCCGACACGCAGCGCGTTAGCATTAGGTCGGGCGTGTCCCCATACAGGCGGATTTTGGCCGAACAATGAAAAATTACACCACAAATGCTCAAGCATACAGAAAAATAGTCGCCTGACTATTTTTTGACTATTTTTGAATATTCCCCTTGCAGAGGGCCAGGCTCGACTGAACGTTAGCACGGACGTTTTGAACACGGCACGTGCTGCGTCCCAAGCGGGCGCATCAAGGCAAACCGAACCCTCGAGCCTTCGATCGGCCGCGGCAACCGGGTCGACGGAAGCAGGATGCACGCGTGAGCTCGCAAGCGTTGGGCACCGCGTACTGGGGGGGCGATCAGTTGCTCTTTGCGCAAGAATCAGCCAAGGAACAGTTGCTTGCCTGGCGTGGTCCCAAAAACTAATGGTGATGCAGCGGCCATAAGGAACTATACGCTGCAACGGCAGAGAGTGCACGTCAGGGTGATAAATGGGGGGGCAACGAGGGCTGCAGAAAAGGGGCCTTGTCGGGCCCCAAAGGGGCCCTTAGGGTCCGAGAAGCGCACTTTCCTCTCCCCCCCTTCGATCGCACCCCCATGAGGCGACGCCCAAGAGCGGGGGTTCACAGACTCTCCGGGCGAGGGGGAGCTGAAGAGAGTCGAGCCGTTGGCTTCTGCCACCCCCCGTGCCCTGGTTGCGGCGACGAGAAGTGCGCCGCTTCCGCCGCGAGTCCTGCCGCTTCCGCCGCCTCCTCCTTATCATCGCCTCTCGACCTCGAGCGGTGGAACTATCGTGTACTGAAACGGAGGGAGACGCCCGAAACTGGACAATGCTGCCATCGAGGGTGTCCCCGGAATGCTTCGAGGCGCCAGAGGCAATGCCAGAGCATGCGGCAGAGGCGCCACCCTCTCCCAACGAGGAGGTGACGAAGCCCGGTGAGCAGCTCGGCGCAGTGCGAGGCGCACTCCGCCAAGAGGTCTGCGCGCGCCTTTCCTCTGCGCACAGTCTCCCCCGTGTCGGTGTTGCCCCAGAGGCTTGGAGGCGAAGAGGGAGCGTGCTCCTTCAGAGTGGCTCCCAGGAGGCCGAGCTCGTCTGACTCTTTTGCTCGCCGTGCCACGGCCCCTCCGGCGGGGATGGGTGGACGGATGGGAGCAGAGATCTGAGCTGACGGGGCCTGTCCAGCTCTGGAACCCCTGGCCAGCTCCAGTGAGGGGGCCCAGGGACACACACACACAACACACACAACACACACAACACACAACACACAGCACACAACACACAACACAAGACACAACACAACACACACAACACACAGCACACAGCACACAGCACACAGCACACAGCACACAGCAGACACAGACACAGACACACAGATACAGACACACAGACACACACAAGCACAAACGCAAACGCAAACACAAACACAAACACAAACACAAACGCAAACACAATCACAAACACACACACACAAACACACACACACACACAAAAGCACACACACAAAACACACAAACCCACACACACAAACCCACACACACCACACACCACACACACCACACACACGCACACACACAAGTACACACAAATCCCAAGACGCCCCCGTGCTAACTCACGCTTTCCCGGATCCTCGTCTTCGCCCCCCACCTTCCCAGACCTTCCCGTGCTGCCCTGGGAATCGACGATCCATTGTGTCTCCATGCTTCTGCCCCCTCCTGACCCAGACCCCCCGAACCCCGCAGAAGTTGCCGTCCCTTTGAGGCGGGGACGCTTTGCTCTCGGCGGCCTCCGCCGGCCCTCCACCGGCGAGGCCACCCCCGCCTCCCTGCTGGCCTCCGCCGCCCTCCGCCGAAGAAAGAGAATGCAACCTCTCTCCTCCTCCTCCTGCTCCTGCTGCTTCTGCTCCTGCTCCTGCTCCTGCTCCCCCTCCTCCCCCTCCTCCTCCTCCTCCTCCTCCTCCTCCTCCTCCTCCTCCTCCTCCTCCTCCTAGTCCTCCTCGAAGGCGGGGCCCTTTCTGGAGCGCCTCGCGCGAGGGCAGTCTTGGCGGCACCAGCCGCGCGGGGATGGCCCACACCCGATGGCCCACGCACGGGCTCCTCGGCCAGCGGGGGAGCGGGGTGCGCGCACAGGCGCGCGCGTGAGCGCCGGGCCAACGCACCCCGAGCGCCTCGGCTGACGGGAGAGATCCGGCGGCAAGTTCGCGTCGCGATGACGCGGTCTTCGGGCTCTGCCATCTCGTGCCTCGCTCCACCTCTGGGGGCGATCGCTGGCTTTCCGACAGCGCAGCTCGTTCGATATCGACCGATTCCAAGCCACTGGCGGCAGCCTGAACGCCGGCCCGTACTGGGGTCGCCACGGCGTCAACGCGGCGCGAACCTACCGTTAGGTCGGGCGTGTCCCCCTACAGGCCCTACAAGCGGAGTTTGGACGAAAAATAAAGAATAGTCAAACAATACCCCCCAAATGCTCAAAAATACTAAAAGACATCGTCCCCTGACGATTTTTTGACTATTTTTGAATTTTCCTCCTGTAGAGGGACAAGCCCGATATAAACCTACAGTACCGGAGCCCAGCGCCTCGCCGAACAACAGAAGCAGCGGCTCGCGCCGGCGACAGCAGGGCGGGGTGAAGCATGCCAAGCACTCGCCGCGAGGCGTTCCTGAGCATGCGCCGAGCCCCGAATTGTAGCGCGGCCGCTGCCGAGCAGTGTGTGAGGTAAACAGTGCAGCCAACGATGCCAGAAACGTCGGCGCAGGCTGGACACGAACCAGACTCAACGCGCCGTGCGGGGCCGCCGCTCGCAGCGAATAAGCACCGTCCGAGCGAAGTCATCAGGTGGGGAGGATTGAGCCACAGGGCAAGCAGACTCCCCCCCCCGGTCGTCCCCCCCCCTCGCCCTGACCTGTCACGAGGTGTCGCCGAGCGCCCGCGAGGTGCCACTGGGGCGAACCTGCTGGTGACGCAGACCTGCGAAGCCTGACGAACCACACCAGGGATTCTTGCTGAGCGCCCTGAGGGATGTCATCAACTCAGGCCTCCCATTTCCGACGCCATTTCCACTGAATCACAGCGTGGATATCAAAAGAACACGCCAGCAGAAAATTACTCCTGCACGTGGAGAGTCACGCGTCGTCTCATACGAAAAATGGATCAACAAATCGACTCCCATCTGCGAAGCCGCCGAGCCTGGTGAAGAGCACGTGAATCTGGGTGACAACGTCGGACCCCCCTCGCTGGAGCTTGCGACATCTACTGCCACTCACTTGTGAGAATTCTCCCCTTGGACAGGACCCAGCACACACACACACACACACTTAAGCGCAATCTCCACCACCGAACGGAAGGCTACACGAACACCGGAGAACACAACATTCAGCCGTTCTGCAGAGAAAGAGCCGTGTCAGCGACGGCCTGCTGCCGATCAGGACCAGCCCACGCCACCGCCAAAACCGCCGCCTCCGCCAAACCCGCCCCCGCGTCCGCCACCTCCCCCGAAGGGGTTTGCCTCTGATCTGGCGCCGCCGAAACCGCCAGACGCCGGCGGCGCCCCGAAGCCGCCCCCCGCCGGCGGCCCGAAACCACTTCTGCAGGAAAAGACACATCGGCACAAGCATAGACGTGTGGAGGTCCGCGCGGATTCTTCGGATCGGCGCTGGACCCCTCCTCCTGGCGCGGGGAGCGCGCCAGCAAGGGCGGCGCCAGAGACCCCAGCACCGATCCCACAAGCCCGCGCGGACCCCTGGCAGGTCTGTGCTCACTGTCCGGCTACACGCAAGAGTGACCCTGGGCAGGAGTGATCTTAGGTGCGTGGCTTTCGGGGGCCTCGGGGGGCGAAATCGAAGCGCGCAGGCCACTGTTCGGGGGACCCCGGCGGAACCCGCACCACAGGTCACTCTTGCGAAGGGCCACTCTCACGCGTAGAACCGAACTGTGCCGACCTCCCTCTTCTCCGATCTTGGCCGGTGCTGCCCCGAAGCCGCCGCTCGCCGGCGGCGCGCCGAAGCCGCCGCTCGCCGGCGGCGCGCCGAAGCCGCCGCTCGCCGGCGGCGCGCCGAAGCCGCCGCCGCCGGCCCCGCCGCCGAAGGGCCCGCCGCCGCGCCCTGCCGCCGGCGGGCCGCCGCCTGGCGCGCCCGCGCCGAAAGGGTTGGCGCCCCTGCCGAAGGCCCCCGGGGCGGGCGCGCCCCTGCCCGCGGGGGCGCCGAAGCCGCCGCTGGCGCCGCCGAAGGGGCCGGCGCCTCTGCCGCCTCGCCCGCCGTTGGGGGCGCCGAAGCCGCCGCCGTTGGGGGCGCTGAAGCCGCCGCCGTTGGGGGCGCCGAAGCCGCCGCCGCTGGGGGCGCCGAAGCCGCCGCCGCTGGGGGCGCCGAAACCGCCGCCGTTGGGGGCGCCGAAGCCGCCGCCGTTGGGGGCGCCGAAGCCGCCACGGGCCGCGGGCGCTCCGAAACCTCCGCCGCCGCCAGGGGGTGCGGGGGCACCCCTGCCTCGCAGGGCTCCACGATTGAACGACCAAAAGGAACGGGTCCCATGCGAGATGGCGTAGCGATCGTACGCAATGGCTAACGCGGGCCGCTAGTTTAGCATGCCACGTTGCAAATGACGGTGAGTGCGCGCGACCTTGCGCGGGCAACTTACGCGCCAATGCCCGTGCAAACGACCGTGTTTTTTCTGCGTCACTCAAATAATTCTCGGGCGTGCAGGGTGATATCAGCAGGTCGCCTGGCTTCGTGCATCGGGCCCCGCGGTGCGCGGTTACCTTCGCACCCTCGCGACGTCACCTCGGAGAGTGGCACCTCTGTGGTTCAGGCCGCGACGCGCAAAGCGCGATTATCCTCCCTTCCGCAGGGGTGACCTAGGATGATGTGGGCTGGGCCGCGCGAGCTGGATCCTCTCAGCCCTTCTGAAGCGGAGTGATCCGCTGTGGCTCGTTGGGCGCAGCGGCCCCGTGGAGGTGGGGCCATTTCTGGCCGCGCCCCCCCCCCCCCCCCCGACGACAACAGGTCGGTCTGAGTCGCCCTGGCCCGCGTGGGCCGCGAGCCGAATAGACAGCAGGACTTTGGGGCGAAGGCACCTGTCGCACAACTGGAGGATCAGCTTAATCGAATCGGGTGCCGTGGTTGCAGGAATCTCGTGGGAGTATCTGCCCGTCGGCCATAGAGCCTTGGACCTCTCGAGAACTCAGCCCCCCTTCGTAGCAGAGAAACCGCGAATTTTGATCGCCTCGACCAGACAGCGAATTCTATCCCTGGGGCCCTCCCGGACCGCCGACACCGTCTTTTTTTTTTTTTTTGTTCTCGGCGTTGGCCCCCGAACATCTCGACCCCTCCCCCGTGGCAACGGGGGAATGAAAGAGGGGCTCTTCTTCTTGGGCCGAACAAGGGGCTGCAGGTTTCCGGGTTCACCTCCAGACATTTCTGATTGCAGTTTTGTAGAATCATCTCTTTATGTGACACGCAAACTTCCCCAGCGCTTCTCTTTGTGCGTGGGAAGCGGGTCCGACCCTCCAGGCCGGACAGGCCTTGCGCAACCTCCGCGCAGGTGTCCTTATCTTTGCAGCTTCACCTTCCTGCGAGCGATCGGCAGCCTGTCGAACGCTCTCGAGCCAGTCTTGGTGCGGGTTTATCCTGGACCTGGCTTAAATCCACCTCGTAGAATAGGCCGAAGTGCGGGGCTATCCGCCACCTTCGGTGTTAGTCCGTCTTACCTGTCGCGTTCCTTCCTGCGACCACCAATCGTGCCCCCGTAGTGGACCAAGCAAGGCCCGTCATGATCGGTCTCGGAGCTCCTTGCTAAGCCGCGTCAGCCCGCATCCGCGCTACCTCCTGGGCCCCAGGTTGCCCACGTTCAATGATGGCGCTGGCCCGCGCGACGTGGCTTCCACGCGAAGCCTCTCGATGTCCATGGCCTGGCTCTCACTCGGGACCTCGCCCCTGTCGGTCTGCCCTGGCGCCAAGTCGCCCATGGCCCCTGTCGCTGGAGGGCGCTTGGTTTCGTTCGCTGCTTGCGTATTTACCGCGCGAAAAGTCATCGGCAACTTGCGCCTCGCTCCTGTGTCCGTCGCAATGCGCCACCTGCTTCGCGCCCTGCGTCCGCCCCTTGCGTCTTCGGGGCGGGGGCGCCCGCGTCCTCGCACTGAACGGGCCCCGAGAACTTGTCGAATAATTTCTTGCCGCGGCAGCCGCAGGAGCACCCCTGCGGGGGCATTGCCGCCGAGGGAACCACGACAATAACCTTCAGCAAATGCACGAACTCTTCGTCGGCGCAATAAGTCGGCGCGGGGCAAGCCGCCACCGGGCTTCCCTTGTCCTCGCGGGCCGTCGCGCTTGGAGCTGTAGCAGCCAGTGTCGCGTTGTCGCAGCTAACAGAACTGCCGCTGCGCTCCAGCCCTGGAACCTCAGGCTGAGATTCGCGCGATGCTTCTCGATCCCCGGCCACTCGCTGTACTTCGTAAGAGTGTCTGCCGTCATCTCGTCCGCGTGCCAGTCCAGCGGCTTGGGGCATGTAGTCGTGGCCGTTCTTGGGGCCACAGAAATCAACTCCAGGTGCCTCGCCCTGCCCGCGCCCGCTCGCTGACGCACGCCTAGCCCAGCTGCGCCGTCGCCATAGATCTCCAACTCGCGGGGCCTTTGGGTGTCGATGCGGTCGTTCTTGTACTGTAGTCCTCCAGCTGTAGCAGTGCCAATCGAGAGCATCTCGGACTTTCCCGAACTCAGTGCACTTGTACCCTGGGTAACTAAATAGCAACCCCGGGTGTGATCTCCGCATCGTACTGCTCCACCAAGTATTGGCCTCCGCTGCGTCTCCGGCGTAGACTCCCGATAACCATCTCCATCAACGTGTGGTCCACTGGGGGTGTTCTGGAGTGGGTAGCACCATGCCAGCGCATGCTTCCCTTCGTAGTATCGTCCCAGGCGTTGCGCCCTAGAGAGCACCAGACGTTCGGGCTCGATGCGCGCTGCATCGCCGTCTCGCATGCGTGCATCGTGTCCAGCCTATCGGGGAACAGATGCAAGACTGCGCTGGCTGCTCCTTCCACATCCCTGGCGCGCTCTTTCGAGAGTAGGTCCAAGCTGTCTTTGGATCCGCTGTCCAGAAGACACTCGGTTCCTCTGTCCTCTTTCTCGAACAACTTGTCACTAGAGCGGGAGATCCCCATGAGGTATCGCGTCTGTCCAGGCTGTCTTGGTCACATGCTGTGGTCGTGGCCTCGCACAGCTGGTTCAGGAGACCGTCCAACTCGTCGAGCTACTCGTCATAACCCTCCGCAAGGAGGTCGTCGCCATGGCAGATCGCCGTGGCGTCTTCGTCGGCCGCTGGAGTGGCTGAGCTTGCTGGCAGGTAGAACGCGTTCGCAGTGCCGTGTCCGTCGCCAAGCGTAATCCGGTAGAGCTCCCACCACATCTTGTAAGCGACCCTGGTGCGGTTCATGGCCATCGAGGGTAGCGGGCGCCTCCCAGGTCGGCCAAGCCCCCGGCCTGCACCTGCGCCCCCCTCTTGTGCCCCCCTGCCAGCCAATGAAGGATTCGATGCTGTTCGACTGAGCGTGGCCTTGACGACGCACAGAGGTGGTGTCACTTGGTGGTTGTCCTCGTCCTCCCAGACCTCGTAATGTCTGACTTCCGTGGCCGCGAACCTCAGCCGAGCCTTGCCATCCTGTATGCGCGCGGTGGGGGCACCTCTGATGTGCTTGTCGTCGGTGGCCGTTGCAGTGTTCACCTCAGAGTTCGCTCCATACTCATGCATCGCCTGAAATTCATCGTCTCGACCAGCTTGATATAAGACTTCTTGGAGTGGCTCACGTGTGTAATAATCGTAATGCATGGTGTGAGGTACCCACTGGCCTCTCTCTGGATCTCGCTGCTGACCCCCGCCGCCTGCTCAACCTGCTCGACCCCCCACGCTGTCCGGGTTGCTCTGGATCGAAACGATGTGGTCCATCAAGCAACGTCTGCAGGCACGCTCGCAATTGTGGAACTCTCTCAGCTGACGCCTTGAAACACGCATGCTTCTCGCATCTCTCTGAACACCTTCCTGACCCTCGCGGATGTGGGTCCCAAGCGGGCTCGCAGCTCTCGTCGTGAACTTCCTCGGAGACTGCCGACTCGCACGCCGAGTAAGCTCCGATAGCTGCTACTCTCGACTTCTTGATCTCCGATGTCCGTCGTGGCTCAGCTGGGGCCGCTCCTCGATAGCGGTCTGTCCCGGCTTCCATGGGAAAGCCGTCATGAGCTGCTGGAGCTGATCCTGCTGCCTCTCCTGGGCTAGCGTCTGGCATGGCTGCGTAATGAGCCTGTGGAGATGCAGGGCTGCCCGCGACCTGCCAACTGCAGCCTGGCGCGGCAATGCCCGCAGCTGGCGCAACCGTCGTGGCCTCGACAACCTCGGGGAATCTCCTCGAGCTCCCCTCGTAACAAGTCCGCTTGGGTGGCCTTGTGCCGCTGGCGGCACGCGCCGAATTCGACCCGTGACCGGCACTGCCCTCCCTGCAGTCGTCGATCGGGCCATGCGCGTGGATCATCCTCTCCGCGATGTGCGCGCTGCGCCCGACGTTGACTGGCGTCCTTGAAGGCGTCGGCTGCCATGGCATGGCGTCGCTGTGCTGTTCTTGAGCAGCTCGGCGGAGTCCGCGTTCGATGTCGATCGCCGAATGCGCTTCGCTGATGTTGCTCGTGCTGACCAGATGTCGCTTGCAAGCCTGGTTTCCCACATGCCTCGGCCTGCCGCGGCTCGAGCTGGGGTTCGATGCCAGATCTGCTCGCCGAACTCCGACTTCTCCCTGGTGCCCATTGCCGTGCGGCATCATGTGCGAAGAACTTCCACGGCTACGCGGTTGGAACTTCGTGATCATCCTGCCCGCCGCGCCCGCCAGCCACGGCGCGATCGGGCCCTGCATCTTGATCTCTACTCCGAACTTCTGCTCTAGATGCAGCGTGTAGACTACTCGAAGCCTGGCCGCTAGCTTGTTCGCGCCCTCGATGTGCGCGGCACTTTGCGTCGAGAAGGGCGGCGATCCCGCGCCAGAGTAGAGTGATGTCGACGGCCCCTAACTGCGCTCGCCAAATCCATCATAGCAGGCTCCTGGCCCGTCGGCAACATCGCAGAAGTATGGCCCGGGGCCCCCACAGCCGTCGGAAAACGCCCGACCTCGTGGTCGTCGAGCTACTGTCGGCTTAGAGCGTCGCCCGGGCCAGAACTTCGCGGTCGATCGCGTGGCGCGCCGGAATCGCCAACCAGATCCGCCGTCGTCATCTCGAGCTATTCCCAGATGCTGCAGAAGCCTCCTTGTGCCTCGAACATCGTCGCAGGCTCGTCTGCGCCTGCAAACAACATGTCGACGCGCGCCGTTGGGATCTGCTTCTCGTCTGGGGCCGCCTGAGAGCAACGCGGATCGTCGCCGGCTCGACCTTGAACGCGCGAGGGGCACCACGGGCGAAGAGGTGGATGGCGTCCTTCGTGAACCGACCTCTCTGCCGCACTCGGCTGG